TTACTGTCGGAGCTCTGCTCCTGTGCACTCCTGCAGGAAATGACCCCTGTGCAGGATGGTGGACTAGATGACCCTGGGTTCTCTTCCAGCTCTATGTTTCTATGATAGATCTTTGGGGTTTGATGGCTACCGTGACTTTTCTCATTGGAGAAAGCTCTAAGCCTCTGCTGCGGACTTAACAGGCAAAAAAATGGCTCCTCTCATCAGAGGCAGAACTGAAGGAGCACAGGAGAGAGCTACTGGCGAGGGTAGGGTTTTTCCCCCTTTCTAAACTGCTGGGAAGCATCAACTGAGGTTGCTGTTTGAGAAGACAGTATTTGAGGGTGAGTGGGCACTTGTAGCCTGCTGGAGAGTGGTTGGTTCTTTTGTCTGGTTTGTTGCTGACTGAGGAGGGCCTGTTTGCCTGGGATTGATTGCTGGCCCTGCCCTCTGCTGTTGCTGTTGAGAGGCAGGGGCTGTGGGCCTTTGAACTCTAAGACTCCCCGTCAGAGGTGTGAGTCAAAGAGTGAGAGCATAACACTCTTGGCCTGTGGCTCTTAGCCTGGAGACTGGGCTTGGGGACCCTGTAAGAAACGACAAAGTTTTTCCATTCCATGTTATTGCTTTTGTCTTCAGTAGAGGTTAGGTTAGGGTTCCCAAGTACTTACCGCGATCCAGCGGGGGAAACATGCTCCCCTGCCGGACCATTCCTCCCTGTAACGCACCATGCCGTCACCAGGAAGTGACGCCGGGCGATGCTCTGGCAATGGGGCTGAAAACTTGATGGTACCATAGAGTTTCCAGCCCCATTGCCAGAGCGTCGCCGGCGTCACTTCCTGGTGATGGCATGGTGCGGCGCGTCTGTTGTTCCCGTGGGAATGATCCTGTGAAGACGTCTGTGTCCCCCGCCAAATCACGGTAAGTACTTGGGAAGCCTGGGTTAGGTCAGGCCTGTAAATTTTGGGTTACATTGACACACAAAGGAAATTCTAAGGTGAAGAAATCCACCCAGAAGGTGAGGATGGATGCTCAAGGTCCATTTCCAGTCACCTGCAGGGAGTGTGCCATGTTTGTTTTACTGGTATCCTGTTACAGGAGGAGATGATTTAAAGCAACCCTTCAATGTTCTGAAGAAGGAAGTACCCAAAAGACTTATGCTGCCTGACTAAGACTGAAGAAGGAAATACCAAAAAGACTTAGGCTGCCTGCCCTGGCTTCTAATCTTACCTGTTTCATCATTCGCTGGGAGGATGCCAGATAGCCAAGACTGTAGACTTATCCTGGCTGCACATAAAAATTAGGCCTTGCATCCAACCACACTGTTCTGGAAACTTAAAGGTGCCTCTTTCTTCAGAAAAGAGGGCAGCGATCACCGCTGATTCTCCCCTTCCACTACAGACCCACACTTTGCCCCCTCATGCTATTCCTGGGGGGGGGGGGTGTCCACTGAATAAATTGGGGTAGGGGCTCAATGGGCTGTTCTAGAATCGAGAGTCATACTCTGTGAGGTGTCTTATTGGATACAAGCCTAGATCAACGCTTCCCAACCTTTTTGGCATGGTGACCACCCACAAGTCCAAAGTTACTTGGCATGGTGACCCATGCAAGCAAGGGTTTTTGGCACCCATGTAGTTCAGCATTCAATTTCTACAGTGACTAACTAGATGTTTTTGAGAAGCCGACAAACATCGCACAATGGGTGCACCTGCCCTCACTATGAACCCCAAGCAAATGCCATTCAGACACACACAGACTTTGCATAGGGAGGTTACACTCCAGCCTTTGGCCACCCTCTCCTTCTCCATTACTCCCCCTCACCCCCCCTAAGCTTCTAAGGAACTCATTCTAGTAACCATCAGGAGACATTTTACTACATTAACTTGTATGTGCAGTGATGAGAAAAACACCGACTATTATTTTACATGGAAGATCCTGTTTCCAGGGTCAAATCTTGATTTCCAAAATACAGAAGAGCAACAGAAAGGGCAGGAGCAGCCATTAGGGAGTGGTGGCCCATGATTCATTTCCAGAGGCTTTGCGACCCACTTTTGGGTCCTCCTGACCCACAGCTGGGACACACTAGCCTAGATATTTTTTTCTTAATGTGATGCGAGCCACTTGATAACAGGCACCAGTCCTTTCCTGCTATGAAAACAAAGCGGTAAGAAATAGCTATGCTCATTGATTCCTGGCTCTGAAAACCTATTCCAGCTCCAGAGCCACCCCCTCCGCAGCTACACTCACAACCGAGTAAGACAACAAGGTGCTTCACTGCCCAGGGACTTTTGTCCTGGGACAGTCTCTGTGCTTATGCAGGGGATAAAGACAGGGGTCATTTCGTAGAAAAAGAGCTAGGGGGACTCATTAGCATAACTCATTAGCATATGCCACACCCCCTGACATCACTGGAAGTGTGTCCTCCCCACAGCCGGCGGCGACCTCCAGCGGGCACCAGCAGGGAGCTCCAGGCCCCGCCCTCCCGCACCTCACCCGGGGGGATGACGTCCCCCCGCGCCCCCCCAAATGACCCCTGGATAAAGATATAAAATGCACAGTTGGCTTGAGTCCTGCACTATGCCCTCTGTGGAGACAAGGACTACCTGGAGCACCCTAATTGTCTTGTGTGGGGGATGGGGAGGGGACATGAAGTGCACAACCAGCACACTCCCTGTGCAAAAAAAGAAGACGCCGAGTGATACCCTTCTGGTGTTAGTACGCACATATATGCACTGAAGGGTGTAATTCCATTGAAGGATGTAATTCTGTTCAGGATTGCACTATCCCTCTCCACAACTGGATCCACCAGCATGTGTGTCCTACGATCCAGTTCTATAGAAGGAAATTAGGATTCTGGTCTCAGACTGATAGTATATGAATTCTAACTGATGGGTCTCTTCCAACAGAGAGCACAAGGCTGGCCTCACCCCGAGGTCAAGTGAAGCCCCCACTTCAAGGAGGTAGATTGTGGGTACAAATAAGAAGAAATAAGACAAGCTTCCTGATTGGGTCGGAATATCGGTATTTCAATTTTGCCTCATGCCTGTGAGAAATGAACACGAAAGCCCTTATTTTTGCACCACTTTGTGTTTCCAAAGGGCCCTAAAACTGTTCTAATTCTGTGTCAACGGTATACATTAAAATGCCATAAAAGAATCCGCAATCACAGCAATAATACTGAGGCAGACCCAAACCAATGATAATTCCTCATGATTATTAGAGGCACTTTGAGCCAGCCTTTCCTCCAAGGAGCTCAGGGTGATGTACACAATTCCCTCCAGCTTCATTCTATACGCAACACCAGCCCTGTGAGGTAGATTAGGCTGAGAGATAATGACTGGGCCAGGGTAACCCAACAAGTTCATGGCAGAGTAGGGATTTGTAGGGTGGGAATCAAATTTCCCCGTTCCCTCTCTCCCTCTTTCTTTCCCTCTTCATATTCCCTTGGCTGTGCCTGCAGCCTCTCTCTTTTCCTTCTCTTATATCCACTTAGCTATCTTTTTCTACTCTGTACCATCTTCAGCTTTCCCTCCCCTTGAAACCCACTCCCCTTGCCTTCTCTCCCACCCACCTGCCTACCTTTCTCTGTTTCTCCCTCTGCCAGCCTCTGCCCTACCTCACTCACAAACATACTTTTCTGCCCCACCCCATCTTTAGTTTTCCCCTTTAACTTTTTAATTTATTTATTTAGATTTATATCCCGCCCTCCCCGAAGGCTCAGGGCAGCTTACAAAGAGGCATAAATGCCAGGTTAAAACAATCAAACGGTATAAAAAACAGTATAATAATACAGTATTCTGCCCCGCCTCCCTCCAGCTTTACCTTCCCTACTCTTAGGGTTGCCAAGTCCATCTTCCACCCCCAGTGGGGGACTTTGGGGGTGTTCCTGGAGGGGGCGGGGCATCCCGACATGATGACGTCACGTTGGGGACGACACCCCCCCCCCCCCCCGTCCCTCAGGCCCCACGCCAGTTCCCTGCACTTAAAGGAGCCGGCGTTTCCATTTTAAGTGCAGGAGCCAGCATTTCCCCTTTAAGAGCAAAGAACCGTGTTTCCCTTTTAAGTGCACGAAGCTGGCCTTTCACTGCAAGCCTGATCTCAAGTGGAGATCGGGCTTGGGAGGAAACGTGGGTTCCACGCACTTAAAGGCAGCCACCCCTCTCTCTCAAGAGAGAAGGGAGAGGGGTGGCTGTGGGTGTTGGGGGCGGGGCTTCCCCACCAGTCATCTGGCCAGTGGTGGGTAGAACCCCCCCAAAAAAACAGGGGACCCCTGGCAAACTGGGGGGGGGGGTTTGGCAACCCTACCTCCCCTATATTTTACCTTTTTTAGACCCTCTCTCTCCACCACTTCTTGTGCTGACACTAAGTGAGACTCCTTGGCAACATTGGTTGGAAGTTGCCTGACAAATCTCCCCCCCCCCCCAATGGTCACTGAAATTTTACAATGTACCCTTGCGAGGTATTAGTGGCACACTTTTCTTAGAAGCAAATATTTCTTCTATGATTTAGGGTTTTTCCCTCTAACCCCCAAAATGTTTTACATTTCTTATTTTTCTGCAAACCTAGGAGTTTCCCCAAGCTAGTAGAACCCATTCCCCCATCTGTCCTTGGCCCCACCATGTGGATTTTTTTTATCAGTTCTCTATGACTTGATACAGAATTAGGTGTAATGATAGAACATGCCCCCTCCCATTTTCTCAACAACACACATAGCTTAATCAGCCTCTATCACATATTTTCCTGTTTCCCTTTACATAAATTCAACAGTCGCAAATACTTCAAGCCTTTTCTCATAGGGAAGGTGCTTCTCCCACCCACAACCAGAGAGAACTTTCCCTTAGCAATATACTCAGGTGACGGCAGCTCACCTTGTCAGCTGTCGTCCACTGAGTGATGTACCTACACGTTAAAATCGATCCTTAGACTTCACACTTCTTCAACAGACGAGAAGTTCCAGCAAAAACTAGTGGGACTAAAGCAGTTTATGGCAATGCATCAAAACCTCACTCTATCCAGCCATCTACCTGTTTTCCTGGATACTTGCTGTTCTGATGCCGTTTGAAAAGCTCTATCAGAGGAGTTAATGTCCAGCAGGTGTTTTCATTTCCTGAAGGTTATTACTGAATGTGTTACGGCAGTCAGAGAGAAGGAGAAAAAGAAAAAGGAAGAAAGATAGGGCAACTTTATGGCTAGCTCGTAAACCCAGTGAATCAGAAAGCTGAATCCATTACCAAGCCCGGCCTCTTTCTGAGTCATGACACGCTGTTTTGTGCATTGTTTGGCTGGCCTGGCACATCTTAAATAAGATATGTAGTGGTTAGATCAGAATGAGGAAGTCTTGGGGATTTCTTGGTACAAAGAAGAATATACATATGAATAAAGAAAGGGTAATGTATCCAGTCCAGTCAAGTCCAGAGACAAATGTCGAGCTTCACTTTTCAGAAAGCACATTGCCTTGAATGTCCTTTTAGTGAAAGACTTTTTCTTAGTTTTATTCCTTTCATTTCCATGAAGGAGCCCAGGAACATGTGTCAGCTATTTTGGGAAATCCAGATCTTATTTGCTCTAAGAAAATCTACCATCATGAGAAAAAGATATTACCAAAAGACAGACACAATGCATGAGTCCTGCAAGAAAACCCCAATTAAACTTGATATAGGTTTAGAGGCAGTTATGACTAGCTAGAACAATCAAAACTATGTTTGAGGTTCTGGAACTTGGCCAGTTTTTAAAATGTAGTTGATGCTGCCTGGGTGGGTTCCCCTTCCCTAAAGCAGAGAGCACATTTCATTCATTTAATTGGGAAAGTCAAGCAAAAGGGTAACTTTCACCCATCTGTTTTGCCAGAGAAAACTTGGGAAGAGACAGCCCCCATTTTCTATAATCTATCCCTAGTAAATTTTCTATCATCTGTCCCTAGTAAATCACTCTCCCTATTTGATCTTGTTTTTCAGGGAAAAGAAAATTGGGGGTATACGCATTTTAAAAAGATTGTTAGTACACACCTATATGCAGCAGAGTTTACTACTGCTGAAATTTTAGCCATGCCTTCTGAGCAATGATAGTTGTGCACTTCTCTGAATCACAGTTTGATTGCAAACTGCTAGCAGTTCCCTTGAATGTTTGAAAGAAATGCTTGCATTTTATCAAAACCATTCTCCATTATATTGCAAATGTTTTGTCCATGGGTGTGTCCACAATGCTTTCCCATGGCTGTCTCCATCCCAATCCACTCTCCATCCCATCCCCCCAAATATTAATTTTGAAAATTTCCCAAATTGCATTGATCCTGCTGGGGAGGTGGCGGGTGGGGATGAAGCACTTTGGATTGCCTCTCGGTTCCATTCCAGCATTACCTATTTTGCCTGTCTGACCCCAAAGCTTAGCATGTTTGTATTAATTGATTGTTCCGAAGGGGATTGCAAACATCAAGCATGGTCTCACTTTGCTACTTAGGAAAGCTAGTTTGATCCAGGGAATGACGTGCATGCAATTTAATGAATACACACAACTTAGTAAATGTTGCTGGCTGTGCAGGTGCAAAGCCGCACATACATACAGAATGTAACTGATCTTAAATTCTGCATGACCTGCCCATGACAACCTGGGGCTATATGTAATCCAAACAAGCCAGTACACTATGCACATGACAGTGTCTACTCAGCCCGCAGCCATGCTGAATGCTGCAGAAACATTTTGAGGGGAGCAGAAAGCAGGGGTTTCCAAACAGCTGAGCAGCAGGGACTGCCAGTTTGGTGTAGTGGTTGAGTGCATGGACTCTAATCTGGGAGAACCGGGTTTGATTCCCCACTCCTCCACTTGCACCTGGCTGGATGACCTTGGGCAAGCCGTAATTCTGATAAGAGCTGTTCTTGAAAAAGAGCAGTTTCTGTCAAGAGCTCTCTCAGCCCCACCTACCTCACAGGGTGTCTGTTGTGAGGAGGGGAAGGGAAAGGAGTTTGTAAGCCGCTCTGAGACACCTTTGGGTAGTGAAGGGTGGGGTATAAATCCAATCTCTTCTTCTTCTCTCTGTTTGGTTTAAATGGCTTGGAGCCATTTAAACCCTGCTTTCTGCTCCCCATGAAGAGCTGTGGGGAGCCACTGAGCAGTGGGATTGTTTGCTTTAAGCTGTTTGGTTTAAATGGGATTGTTACCTGTGTTGCAATGAAAATACCTCACCAGGTCCCCTCAGCCTGCCAATGCCGATCTCCTGGAGTAGTGGTCACGCAAGGCTGGCATCTGGCCCAACCTCTCTTGCATGGCCATGAGTCTCTTCTCCTGCCCTCCCATCAGTGGTCAAAATGAGTGGGTGTTCTCCCACCTGGGAGACATTCTCAGTCCCCACTGCTCCTGCCTGGCCCCGGCTAGGGTGGACAGGTTGGCCTTCCTCAAGGTCAGTCTCCCCCTGCTGGGCTACCCTTCTCTGGACCTCACAGTGTAAGATCCAGGTCTCTTATTGTTGCCCTGCATGTCCCACCATTCCTCATCCTCTCTGGGTGATCTGGCGTGCAGCCTGCGGGTTGTGCCCTTGGGTGGGAGGATGGCCACCTCTGCCGGGTGGAGGTGGGCTACCTCACCCAACACCTACTTCATGAAACAACATCTGCCTCATAACACAACACCTACCTCATGATCACTTCAAATGGAAAACTCTGATTTCCACTGGTCTGGTGGGGCTGGGGTGCCTGTCAAGCTGTTGTGGGGTTACTTTGGGAAGCTCTTGTCAGATGTCTGTCTTTCTGTCACTTTAAGTGGAAAACTCTGGTTTCCACTGGTCTGTTGGGGCTGGGGTACCTGCCAGACTGTTGTGGGTTACTTTGGCGGCGGCGGCGGGGGGGGGGCTGTCAGATTTCTGCCTTTCTGTTGTGTCTGGAATAACTAATCACTTTATATGGAAAACTCTGATTTCCATTGGTCTGGTGGGGCTGGAGTGCCTGCCAAGCTGTCGTGAGGTAACGTTGGGGAGCCTCTGTCAAAATTCTGGGGAGAACTAATCTTGATCATCTGGACATCAGGTTTAATAGCTGGACATCTCCAGGTGCCACCTAGAGGCTGGCTGATGTTAATTTGGGGCTATGCAGTCACAGCTAAGGTAGAAAAGCACCTCCTTCTGTGCCATGTTTTCTGGGTTCCAAGGGTCTGGAAAGTGGTTCCATAGCCAATTACACAGTTGCCAACTCTGGGTTGGGAAATACCTGTAGATTTGAGGAGTAGAGCCTGGGGAGGGCAGGATTTTGGGTGGGGAGGGACTTCAGCAATATAATGCCATAGAATCTACTGCCCAAAGCAGCCATTGTCTCCAAGAGAACTGATCTGGGTCATCTGGACATCAGTTTTAATAGCTGAAGCCCTGACTGCTACGTCATATTGGCTGTCATACAGGGGCCATCTCAGCAAGATATAAGGACACAGAGTCCACCATTTTCTCCAGGGGAACTGATCTCTGCCATCTGGAAAGCAGTTGTAATTCTGAGTGATCTTTAGCCCTCACCTGGAGATTTGCAACCATGGTTTCCCCCAACAGACACTAAGGGGAAATTT